GTACGCATAACGTGTGAATGTACGCGATGCGTGAGAGGAACATTACAAGACGCCGATGAACCTCGCCGATCCCTCTTTTGAGAAAAGCGAGATCGATCGAATCGCGAGCGAGAGGCGGATTTTCGGCCAGCCGGTTTCGCGACTTACGACCAGCCGTATGAAAAGCGCGAATTTCGAGAAGAAAGAGAAGAGGAAGAAAAAAAGAGATAGGCAAGATAAATAAGACAAGGGTAGGAGGAAGAGGCAGGCAGAAAAGCGAGGGTGTCCGTGCTCCCTGCGCTTCTTCGTCGTGCACAATGGAAAGAGAGGAAAGAGGAAAACGCGAGACATCACCCTGGACGATAATGGTATAGAGAGCAGAGAATTATACTATAAGAGTTCGCGCACACGACTGGCCATATATCAACTCACTCGGTTGTTCCAATCCGCGATAAACGAGAATACAGGATGTATCATATGTCCTCTCACGCGATTCTCAGGCAAGTTGTTTCTTGCTCAATTCGACTTCTGTTCATGATTTAACACACCGCGCTCTCGTTAAATGTACATGTACCGGTTCATTCTCGCACCAACAAAAAAAACACGTCACGGCTACAATGGGCTTTTTATTATCTGGGATCTGAGGGTGACTCTCGTCCCGGATTGGCAGAGGTAAACGCAATCATTTCACTGTTGCCAGAAGAAACAGCCGAAGATAACTCGAATCTTCGGTGATCGTTTCTTCGGACAAGCGTGAACGCGTTTACCTTTACCCTTTCTCTCGTCGCCGGAACGCTTTCGCGTGTTTCCGCGACAGAAAATATTCACGAGAGAAATAAAAAAAATAAAAAAAAAAGAAAAAAGAGAGATCTACGCGCTGCGAACAACGTGGCGCAACTCCGGTCCTAGGGTCGCGAACTCGGCGTCTCGTCATGGAACAAACGAAAACTTTTAGACCAACAAACGTGCGTGAAAATACATGAAATGCAAGAAGCGATAACAAAATATGTGAGAGAGCTTTTAATGTTGAAATTCCAAAATTTAAAGAAAAAAAAACGGAGAGACGCGTTTTCCGTGGAGCAGAGGAGCCTAAACGAAGGATCTCGATCGCGATGGCTTGAAGTGCGATTTTAAATGTCAGCCCCTCTTCCTCGAACGGTACGAAAAACTAGATTCAAGGCAACAAGTCTCTGACGTTGAAAAAAAAAACGACCTTCGCTATCAATGCGAGCATCTGTCCAATCTTTCTTTTGAAAGTGTATCGCGCGCGACACATGACACACTCTGACATAGCATATACAAAGAAAAATGGAGGCAGAACGCAATATTCGTCTACCGTAACGAGCTTAACAAATGATAACTCTCGCGATTCCACGGGCACCTGGCGCGTAAGGACATCGCGAAAAGAATCACCGTCATCGAGTAACACGTCAGGAACCGCGCGATCGCGAGTACGAATTCGAGATTTAGCAACGCTAGCATTGACAGAGAGGCCGCTCCTCTCTCTCCGAAATTACCTTGATTCCCACGTTGGATCACCGCATTAGGGCGATCATGTACCTTAAAAGCTAACGAAAAAACCGATCTAAATGCCTAAAAAACCTTCCTACCTCTTCATCTAAACTAATAAATATATTAACGTTTGGTTTTTTTTACGCTATTCTTCTCTCTCAATATGTCTCTCCTTCAAAGATTATCCCTTCATGTTCATTTCTTTCATAATAACGACTGTTCTAAAAATTAAAGGGAAATTGAATTTTATTGTCCCTCTATAGTGAATTGTTATCGCATCGCGTATAAACGCGATAATTTTATATTTCGATTTGTAAAGGGATCCCGATCACGAAAGATACGGCACGCCGGGCGGACGATTTCCGGCTCAGCCATCTGGGGCGACCGGTATCCGGCTGCATCAGCTGCTCAGTGTGCAGCTGTCATCATACATTAGCAGATGCAAGCAAGCTGGTCTCCGTCGTCTCGGCAAGAAACTTGCATTGCCAACCAACCGAAATAACCGACAAAAATTTCTTATTACCTTCCTCATGAGCGAACGGAAAAGGAATTAGCCGAAACTTCGTTCCGAATTTTTGTTGAAATTAATCTATTAAAAATATTTATTACATATGCCTAATAAAGTTAGATACTTGTGATATAATTTGTTATTAGCTTCGTTATGGTAAAACTGATGAAACTATCGTAACCTATCGTACTGCTGAGAAATTGTACAGTAGTCTTTCCGTTTTGTTGTTACGTAATATATATAATCGCCTTGATATAACAATTCAACGCACTTATACATGAATTCGCGATAAATCTGGGTCATCAGTAAACAGATAGTTCAATTTATTTAGTCTTATCTTCGTTAACGCATTCTCGTTAAACAACAGAAAATTTATCTCTTCATAATCTCAATTTTTCACTCGCCGGCTCACGATAAACGTAACTGTTAAACTGTAATCACGTTAAATGTTACGTATTATATATGTAATATAGCTGTTTCTACCAAAGTTTCCTCAAAAACTATAATCGCTTGACCTTGATTTTATTGCAAATTGACGTAAAATCTATCGTGAAATGATAAAGTGATTTTTCGTTATTCTTTATGACTGCGAATTTCGAAACGACATCTTTTGCAAATAATTGACACCGCGATAGAAGAATGTACGCATATCTTTCGTCACCAGAAAGTTCGCTTCTTGTCGTCTCTTTTGTCTTTTTCGATAGAAATCTTCCCTACCACGCGCGTTCGTTCCAAGTTTCACGTGGCCCCAAGGTCAGGTGAGCGTTCGTGGGAATGCCTCGACCGGGCATTAAGTATACATGCCTGTTATACTACACAACATGATTAGCTAGATTTCTCGTGTCCGCTACGAGAGGTCTGAAAAAAAATTAATTTGAAAGATTCACTCGGTCTTCAAATAATTAAATCCGTTTTGCATACATTCAATTAAATATGACACATAAAGTAATGAGTCATCTAGTAATAATTAGATGACTATGAGAACGCATAAAAAATGGAAAAAAGAAATAGCTTAAAAAATTATATCGATACAGAGTCTCAAGAGGGATAAAAATTTACATAATCCAAAGAGCATCGATCAGCATCGATCTTACTGAAAGTAGCTCGTCAATGTTCTCCGCAGATTGAAAATCGCACGCAAATGTAACCATTGAATATAATAACGGAAGGAGGAAAAATAATGTTTTAACGACGCAATTTCTAATCGCTTAGAAATTCGAGTGATGTCACACTAGAGTCGGATAACTGCCCAAGTTATGAAACGATTACTTCCGAGTTATGCCGAGAATCAGCGTAAAATGATCATTGTCGAAGGTGCTCAACGTCACCTACAATACTACAATATATATCGTAGTATCAAATTTCATGAAAGGCACGTAACGCCGATTAGAGAGCCAAGGCGAGATTGCTGGCTCACGCTCGCTCGATCGCACAAGCCCCGTTATATTCTTACCCACCGAGAAGCAGCTCTCACGTTGCTCCAGCTTCAATTTCCCATAGCAACAGGGGAACAACCGGATACGTCCCGAAATTTCCTTCGTTATTTAATCGCTGAGCCACGACTTCCGCGAATGAAATCAGACTATAAAATAGCGAATTATGTTTCATATGTGTTTCCGCATCAAAACAAGTATGTCATTTCATATAAAAAACAATCGCGTGTCGAAATTCCTATCGTTGAATTTATCACGCAATGCATTATTCAACTTGGTGGAAAAATTCATGAACGTGAACGAAACGAACCCGTTTCAAAGATAGAGAGACTATCGAGAGAGACATCCTACTCAATCCTTATACTCATTGATCTTTATACCTACATGTTTCCAGTTATCGATGATGCGCGATTCCGTTTATAACTATTTTTAATTATTCTTACTGACATTAATTATCAATAACACGGTGCTTGATTAATAAAAACGTCTCGTTGTATCTGAAAGAAAATCGATAAGCTTAAAAAATAATCGATAGTCCATGCTTTAGACTTCGTTCAACAAGGTACAATATATAGTAAAAGATTCTATGATCTCTCGATTCTCACCACCTATCTTGATTATCTCTTTCTATATGTTATTTCATCAACATTGAGTATACTTTATTTACGTAAAAATAATACTAGAAAATTCCGCGATGTTACTTCTATCTACAATTTACTGTAACTACTGTTATATGAAACCGCATGTAACTATCGTCGCGGATAAAGTATAACTAACTGTAATCGTTCTTTGTAGATTTTTTACGCGCGAAATTGACACGAGATATTGAGGTCTCGTGTTCTCCCTGCGGGCTGTCCTCGCGATGTCGTAACTCCTTTCGGAGGAGAGAGAGGCCGTAGAGTCGCGCATTGCGAGGCTAACGAAGACGAGACGACAGAGAACAAATGTCGAGAACCAAATTATGGAAAACGGAATGTTGTACGATAGGAAAAAAGGCACGCGCGAACGCATGTGCGGCTCGTCTTACGTCAAGTCTCACTTGTCGCGACACTACGTTAAGAAAGGAAAAAGATAAAAAGACAAAGAGAAAGAACTTAAGAATTCTTAACAGAAAGCTCTACATGCTCCGATAGAAAATAAAAAGCTCTTTCAGAGACCGTGCTACACTTGAACGCACCGGAATCTAGGTTGAACCACGTTATCAACAACGAAAGAAAAAGAAGCTCCGCCCCGCCTGCGCAATAGACACATACAATTACGCGCGCAATTATGTCAATACGTCATCGAAACTTTTATCAACGTACTCGCGCTTGTGAATGAGCCATTGTCGGTTTGTCACATTAGAAAAAGATATCTTATTTCTATCTTAAAAATTTTCCATATTCTCGAGTCCATTCAAACGCGAGTACGCGCGTTTCTATTCTACATGGCCATAAATTTGTTTAAAATTTGCATTTTATCAGTGATGCAAATAACTCGGATTCTAAATTAGATTTAGAACAAATTATGCGAGTGTCTATTGTTACGGGGGGCAAGAGGCAGATGAAACATGAAGCCACTGAGCCTACCTTGTGAGTCGCGATGAGCCTGTGCGGCCTCCTGAGCTGCGAGGAAAACCTCATCTCCCGTTCCGGGAGCTGCCACGGAGCCCACAACACCCCCCGCATTACTTCGGTCACCGGTAACATGCCATGAGCCCATACCTGCTAAAATAAATTATCGTCCGATAAATCTCAATATAAATATTTTATTAAATATTTACTCTTTGCATGATACGACGTTGTATATCATTAATTAAAAATTTACAAGATAAATCGTGAGTAAAGATATCGCTATAAAACTGAAAGCTACTTTGACTCAATTTATAATTGAATTAAAACTGTTCAATTAATATCAAGTTGCAAGTCTCAGAAAAATCCTTGTTTGAAAATTTCGAGTGATTTACGCAATTAACATGTCAGATGAAAGTAATAATAAAAACATTATTCTAGGAACGAAGAAGGTACTTTATTCATAAACTCTTTTAAAGGGGAACAAAAATATAGGAGTACATATGTAATACTGACCAAGAAATAACGCAGCAAAACCCAGGGTTTCACAATTGAAAAGTCACACATTTCCCTTATACAGTGGGAGTGCTTAAAATACATTTATATTATACAATATTCTTCTATATTCATAACTCGTTACAGCAAGTAATATTTGGCAAGTTACGTGAAATATCATAACACATCCGCCCCGCAGATCGTCATGCTCACATACATACGTACAGAAGTCACACAAATTTTAAGTAATTTGGCTTAAATAGTTTACATGTAACACATTCAAGAAATATAGACAAATAATACTGATAGATTCAGACTATTTAAAGTTCAAATAACTTTGTACATCAACTTGTCGTACTTCGAAATTGCACGTGTGTATTACAGAATTACCATTAAATTTGACTAGTTTAGAAGTGATTCTTGTCGGAATTTCAATTCCCGGGTAAATGTAATGTTAACATGCAAACAGAAGAAAGTCTCAGCAATGTGCATGTTATAAGAATTATATTCGATCTTTAAGTGATTTAAGAGTTTAGATCAGTCTGTTTCAAACAAACTATATAGTAATTATTAATGTTAATGACCGCCATTGATTGGGCTCGACGCTAAAAGAACGGTGCATAGAATGCTACAATATTCGCGCGTGTTGCACACTAAGTCCGTCTAGGCTGGACCGGGGTGAAGATTGGACTAGAAGGTTGGTGTTTCCATCTCCTCCTGACGACGTTCAACTTTTTCAAATAGAACTGCAACGTTGAGCGATTAATGCCGTACATCTCGGATGCCTGAGTGGTGCTAACCCCCTGTTGCAATATTGCCTCCAGGGACATTTTAACCGAGTCTAAGCTATACTTTCTGCCCTGCTTGTTCGCCAGTGATTTAAGCAACGCGGCTACGTCAGCGTCCGGGCGCGGCCGTCTCATGTTTGGCACTTTATTACATTCGAGGAAATGGGAAGCCCATGGGGCACCACCGCCACCATTACGATCACCATCGTCACCAATACCGAAATTCCCTCTCGACCGAGACCGCGCTCCCGCCCCCCCACCTGCAACGAGGAAACCCAAGCTAGTGTCGGCCAATTTATTACACGTCCCGTTTTAATAGATAACAAACAAAACAACGAAACGATTTCGCGACACCAAAACTAATTCGTTCAACGTACACAAGCCCTTCCTAATTGCGATCAAGAGAGAAACAACTAATTATCGCGATCCAGCAATATCGAGATTTCCGTTCAAGAATCACTATCCAATCGTACAAGACGTCAAGCTCTGCTTCGATCCAAATAAACTTTTTGGATCGAAGATTCGCTAATGTCGTTGACTCTTTCTCAGAGCATATAATTTTATACAAAATGCAATTACTCGCTACGTATACTTCATATTTTTACATGCGCAACGCTACTTAGCGATGCGCAAGTTTAAATGCATATATTACAATTCACATTGCCTCTAAGTGAGAAAAAAACCCTGCGTTTCGCTACGATAAAAAAAAAATAAATTATAAATAACGAATACATTATTTGAAACTTACCGGGGTGTTGGGCGGGGTCATGGGACGGTCCAGCTCGATTGTTGTCCTGTTCTATGTCATTAAGATCATTCATATCTTCATCCAGCGTTAGGTCTTCGACACCCTCCTCAGCGTCATCTAGGTATTCAGACTTTGGCTCGATGAGATTATCATTTGGCTCGGGTTTTTCGAGTGGCAGCTATAGAATATTAAAAACGCATTAGAAATCTTAAAAGAATCTCTATGAAACAAAACATAATCCGTAAAAAAGAAAATTGTCTCGAACCGTTTCCACACTGCAGCGGTAAGGAAAAGGTAAAAACCAAAGCAGTAGAATAGAGAACGATTTTTCTTTACCAACGAAGCGAAAGAAACAGCGCTTTTAACGACAGCCTCTATTAGAACGTTGGCACACCCCCTCCCCTCCAAAAAAAGGAGAGAACGGAAGAAATTGTTCGTAGAACAATTTTACCTGTAACATCTCATCGGCAGGCTTCGTCAACTGCGTCATTAAAGCTGACCTGCCGAGAGAGTCTGTTGGGTCTGCGTGTACTTTTTCGTCTGCCACTGGTGCGATACCAAGCGCCGGTACACCCATTTGCTGAGGCATGTCGCTGGAATTCGATGCATCCTGATTTTCTATCGTACTATCTTCGGTTAAACTTCTTCTTCGAAACCTTTTTCTTTTTCTTGATGTTGGACTTTGTGAACCTTCCCTGTAGGAACAAAAAAAAAACATAAAAATTAGCAATATTTTTGAAACGAATAGATTACATTCACATCTAAACAACATAATGAAATTATTCTCCATCCAAGACTTACCTCGAGGACAACCCTTTCGACACTTGAGGACTAGCCGTATCCTCTGGTATATCCCCCACGGAACTTTGCGCCAAACTCTGCCTAGGAACTTTGTTCTTTTCTATCGTCAGACCGGAAGACGCGTGTGGAATGTCTAACGACGGTGCTGTTGGTTGTGAGACGGTTTTCTGTGGCCTGGACTCCGTCTTACTACTGCCAGCAGTTTTACTTTCCGAAAGGCCCTTAATTTGCAGAGACTCGGCGGCTTTGAGGAGTGCTGCCAGTTGGTCTTGGGAAATATTTACTTCCCCTCTGTACATATAGTCCATCATTGCCTTAAGTTCTTTGAATTTAACATCTTTGAGTATAAACACTGGATGCTTGTCATAGTGTTCGCTGAGGAGGCACTGTAACACAAAAATACATAATCTTTTTCAGACAAACGAGTACAATAGTAGAGTTACAAATATATAATAATTTATTTTCCTAATTTCTATTTAATGTAGATATTATATTTAATATTTACTTTCTACAAGTTTAAACATTATTCGTAGATTACGTGGCATAAACACAAGTATTTATTTAGCAGCATTAAAATATTGATCTCTCATATATCCTATATTACAGCTAAAAATGCAAAGTGCCGCATCTGGTACGAGCTAACATCTACAGACAGGCACATACAATTCGAGCATATTAATTTTCATAGAGCAGCATTCAATTATTGCAACAGCCACTCTTGCATCCCCACCCATATTAGGGTAAAATCCCAGGGCAAGTGCCCTGGAAATCAGCCATCTTGCTTTCCTTGTATTGATCAAGAGGACCTAGGAGGGGGCTTCAGGCTTTTGCTCCCCACTCTCCCCCACTTCACCTCCTACACTTCTGCCCAGGCAACGTTCAACAAGCACGGCCATCTTGTTTCAACTTGAGATCCCCTTCCTCCCACCCCCCCCCTTGCTTCTCAACAATCTATCTCACTCCCTCCCAACATTTCGTATTGATCTAACCCGAGCCAAATGAACAAAGAAATAAAAGGGGGAAAGCTTCATCCAGCACAATTATTAATATAATTTGTAACGTTCATAATTATTCTTTTGAATCAAAATTCTTCCAATTATAATTCGCATTTCCATTAACAAATAATTGAAAATCATTAAAATTGTATCAACGTTGCTAAATTATCGCACGTTGCTAAAATATCGTTGCTATATTAATCATATCTCTACTTTCAAATATTCGCAATAATAATCAATAAATTTATTATTACAATGCAAAAGAGAAAAGAATTTTGCTCAATTATATCAATTTAAAGAAAATATTAAGGAGATAAGAAAAGACCTACAAGATCTAGTATCTTGAAAAAAAGAGAATCGCTTCAGAATATCTCTAGGAAGATAGGAAAAGACTGTAAGATTAAATAGTAATAAATAACAGAATATTTTGCTCACCTCAAAGTATGGACTGCACGCGGAGAGGACTACTTTGTGGGCCTTGAGAGTCTTCCCCTCCGCCGCCAGGGTGCAGTCGACCAGCGTCCCGCTTTCAAGGAGTGTGTCGAAGTTTTGTATGAGCGTACTTTGGTGGTTGTTCCACCTGAGACAGAACTGCTGGTCGTCCTCCATGGTAGTTCTGGCTTCGTTTCCTCGTTTCTGCATAGATGAGAAAACAAGCGTGAAAAATGACATATCGTATCCACAAACGTAAAATCAGATAACATAAGAGTGCGGAACCTGCCGAGTCGTCCTCTCTCTTCCTCTCTCTCGCACTATTTCTCCTAATCGTACCGTATCGATCGACCGAGCGACCCGACGCTATCTCGTCCTCCCGCGACCGATTATTATCGCGCACATCGAGCCGAACGACGTACCCGGTAAAGTACGTCTCTCGACTTTCGTACCAATCCGACCGTCCTCTCCCGTCTCGCTCTCACTCCCTCTATCTCTCTCTTCGCACGCGACCCTCGCGGGAGGACGACGGAGGCAAAAGCTCCGTAACGAAGCGGCGAAGCTTCCAAAATGGCCGTATGAGCGATGCGTCGGTCGAATCGCTCTTCTAGCCTTTTCCTTTGTGCGTGTCTGGTAACGGTAATGGACTGCCTGGTGGGGATGATGCAGGAGGACGCGCAAGCACCGCGCACGCGCACTCGCGACGTCCGGGCTGCGCGTACCGCTTGCACAACGATCGCGCGGAGACTCCTGGGACTCAGGGGCGGCTGCTGCGGGTACCACCGCCACCACTAGACCCCCTCGCCCCTCTCGGAGGTAGTTATCCCACTGTTTCTTTTATTAGGACCATATACATTTATCAGTACTGAAAATCAAGAGCTCACTCGTGCACAGATTTTCAATACTAGCAGTGTATATACGGAACCTTCAAATGTGTGGCGATTTTTTAAATGATATCGATAGAGAATGTAACGTTACGCAATTACCAGAACAATCCAATCGAAAACGAATACCAAGAACAGAAAAAAAAACATGTGATTACCTGAAGACGGTACGACGTTATCGATGATTGGCGATGACGAAAAACTTGCTCATTACAAGTGACCAAACCAATTCGCGATCGAATCGCATATTTTTATCACGATGTTTTCGTTATCACGTCGCGTCGCCGGCCGAAGCGACAACGAGCGAAACCAGGACTGGTCTAACCCGATTTACGTCAGCGCGATTTACATTAGCGGCGCGCAATAAATACGGAAAATCGATCACGCGGCTCGCGAGCGATGTTGGTGGGGAACGACGGAGGGTGAGGTGAGGTTACCGCACACGCAGCAAGAAGACTGGAGCGAGTGCACTACGCAGTCGCGAGGTGCTGACTGCTGCGCAGGGAGCAAAAAAAAGGAGTGAAAGAGCAAAAAAGATGCGAGTTGTTCCTCGCTTGCGCGATTGCGTAATCTATTTATATTGTTATCTTGCGCGCGCGCGCGCGAGAGAGAGAGAGAACGCGTTACATCAGGCATTGCCGAGTGCATGCGCAAGAAACAAAAACAAGTTGACAATTTTTTTCCAGACCATATATCAAGCGCGCGTTGAGATACGGCACAAGAGAAAAAAAAAAGCGGGACAGAAAGAATGAGAGCAGAGGAACCATCTTGCAGCGACGCGAACCGCTCACTCCTCGCGAAGAGAGGAGAGGAAACCGCGAGAGCCGGAGACGTGGAACGCCAATATGGCGGTCGGCGAGGTCGGACCCGGGACAAAATGGCGGCGAGTGGAAAGCTCGCGGCGGAAAAGCAACGGCCGATCGATCCGCTTCGCGCTCGCGCGCACTCGTGCTCCGACCGAATTCCTCGCGATTTCGTGCGTCGCGCCTGGACAATAGCAAATGAGATCGCAAACGCCACTTACACGCGGATGAGAGATCAGTTTATCTCCGTTTTCGAACATCGCCACGAACGATGATAATGGATCGCGAGAGATAAAATCGCGACGAAAACACTCGCCATTCCACGGACCCGCCCCGCCACGCCATGTCGTGTCATGTCGTGTCGTCCCCGCATTCTCGACGCTGATTTCCCGTCGACCAGACGCGTCTCGCCTATATCACGCGGGAATTTATATACGTACTCACTCACCTAATAAGGGAGATATAAAACAATCTAATATCACAGCAATGGAGTCGGTGAAAAGTGTAAAGCAGCGTGGAGAGTCCAGGCCCGGCGTCCGCCTCGTGCGCTGCCCTTTTCAACAATGGCGCAGCTCAACGCCTTCTCGGTTCGGCCACCGTTAACTGCCGTTCAGCCGTTCGAGGGCGCAGACGTATGAGGCAGCGATGAGGCGACGAGGCTACGAGCCGCGGCCCGCAACTTGGAGCGAGCGAGAAGGAAAAACAGGAAAACGGCGCGCATGCGCGTCGCACGGAAATTCGCTACTGCGACGTGATTGCGAATACCACTGACGCTGCTGAGCGCTAGCGAGGCCGAATTACGTTCGGCGTCAAGATGGTCGCGATTTCATTTTTCACTGGCATCCAAAACGCGCGTCCGACGATCTCTATATAATCCAGCTTTTCACGAATCCTCGGAAAAAAACGAATCTTTCTTGTCGAACTCCACCTATCGAAATAGAACGCATTCTAAAAGTCATCGAAAAAAAAAATCAGTCCAACCGCAACGACGGCACGTACTTATCGATTTTCAACTCGCATTTTATCGTGGCACAAATTCTAGCATCAATTTCACCTCAAGCGGTGCATACAATGAGATTTTAAGACGCAAAACTCAAACCCTAAGCCTTAAAAATTATCCAATCATAATCAATTTTATTCAACTGTAATTGATCAATTTATTATATAGCTCAGGTTTTATTTTTAATTTATTAAAATTCAAGTTTTACGCTTTAAAATCTCGTGCAGACGCCGCTTTAATTAATTGTCGCGAATTTAGAAATTTGAAGCACACGTTCGGTCAATTCACGATCAATATAACTCGAATTTGTTACATCACATTAGAATTTCAATTTCCAAATCGTTATTTCTCCTACAGCACATATTTTTTCTCGCTAGATTGCTTGCGTTTTAGCAAATTCCTAGAATTGTACCATAAAAACGTAAACAATATAGCAAGTAAAACGTAAACAATATAGCAAGAAAAATACATCTGTGCTCTTTAGGTAGGCTTCTTATTAACATTTATATTCAAATTTTACTTTTGCTGTATTTGACAACAATATGAGGTGTAAAAAAATTAATGAGATATTAAATCTATTTTGTTGTATATCTGCTATTTCGAAAGAAAACTAATCGACTACTACGCTTGTTGGAAAATCACAAAAAAGATAAAAAAAAAATTACTTTGATAACGCACTAAATCTCACATTATGATTCTGCAAGTATGAATAATTCCTTAACAATCTAATTATATATAATTACAAAAAAAACAGCAAATGAAAAAAACTGTTATTAAAAGTCAATTACATGACCTATGTAAGAGATTCTGTGATTTTATCTCGAGCACTAATCTCAGAGCGACTATTAACTCCGAAAGTAAAAGAACATTTCTAAAAATATTTCAAGAACGTTTCTTAGGGCGAGAGCACACGATAGACAAAATGTCGGCCGACCGTTGGGTCGTTTACAGAAAACAATGGTTGCATTCAGCAAAGAAAGCAGATTTGCAACTGTTGTAAAATTCTTCAACGGTTGATTCTTGTCTTTAGTTCCTTAGATTTTCATTTTGTTTCTGATTAACTTGTGATTAACTTTTACCTGATGATAGTGTAACAATTTATTTTTCTAGTTATGATTAATCACTAAATAATAATGTTCCTATAATAAATAACTCTTTAACATTTAGCAATTAATAATCAGAGAGAAAGAGAAAAAAAATTTTTACATTATTATCAAGTGAAGTTAAATAAACCACAAATTATTATATATATAATTATTATATATATATTATATATATAAGTAATGAAAAACCAACCTTAAATAACCAACCTTATAAACTAATCAGATTGAAAAATTTTAGAACAATTGCAAAACTTCCTCTGCTAAACATAATCAATGAAAACTATCAATATCATATACACGTTATTGCATTACCATAGGCTTTCCATAAACGACACAACAGTCATCCGATATTTTATCTATCATGTGTCCTCAGTATTGATTCTCACACTTATAAATATAAATATTATTTGTTGAAGGGTAATCGGTATAAAGTGATACCCGAAAAGTTTAAAGATACATCAAACTCCGCACGATCGCACTTGACAAGCAACGTTCGTCGTTTATTATTTCTCGTCTGTTGTTTAACGTACAGCTCGAATCTCTCTGTTACGTCCCGATGATACTTTACCACAGTTGTTTATTTTATTGCGCATTTAATCTGAAGAATAAATAAAGCTGCGATAGGATCCAATCGCATAAATTCCAGCGTTGGATGGAATGCCAATAGAGGTCGTTTAATTGCTATAATAAAAGTCAGAAACCGTTAATGTTACCGGACAATCGCTGTTGCCCTTTTCTTGTTTCAACAGTCCGATGTTACTTTCCTTTACGTAATATCACGAGACGATCCTTCGACCTGTATTTATCGTGGCTCGATAATCAAAGCAAACAGATCAAAAGCACACGAGAAGCGTTCGATCGAAATGATTTAAACTCGTTTCCATCATGAGATAAGAATACAAGGTGTTTTCACCTCCAAAAATGCACAGTCGATAACTAATCAGTCAAAAATGTTTGAAGTCAATATAGAGCCGCTATCAGAAATTTATTATCAATAAATTTGTCTCAAAATTATATTCGATCACCATTAGGCGCAATAAAGTGACTTTGTAATCTTACATCATAGTCTCCATCAATGATAGTTTGAACTTTCAATCCCGATTCAATTAATGCCTGTTGCTATCAATGTAATTCTAATCTTGGTTCAATTAACCTTTCATCTTTTTCTAGTTCTAATTAAAAAAAGATTAAGATTAAATTGAACTGAAATTAAAATTAATCTACACTATATTGAACTCGTTTTTTCCTAGGTTCCATCAATGCAAGATTAATCACGGTTCAACTTACTCTTCGTCTCTTTTTTAATTCTTAGAACTAGAAAAAGAATTAGTTGAATCAAAATTAAAATTTAATCTACCAATGATAGAAACGGGCCTAGTTCTATCAATGTAAGATTAACTTTAATCTCGGATCAATTTACTCTGTCTTTCTCTTAATATTCACTTTTATTAATATAGATAATTTTAATCTCGGTTTAACTTACTTTTAATATTCATTCTAAGAAGTAGAAAAAGATAGAACGTAAATAAATCGAAAATTAAAGTTAATCTACATTAGTAGAAATCGGTCGAATTTTATAAAGAATTAGAAAAAAATAAACAGTAGATTAAATAAGTAATGTAAACCTTATTATATTGATAGAATCAACCTCTAAAAAGATGAGAAGTAAATGGAAACGAATTTAACTTACATTAACATAAACATTATCGGTAAGAAGTGCCCAAATTTTCAGTACAAATTTTTATGTTGTTCCAGACTGTACAATACAAATCTGAACAAATCTTACATACTTCTGAAGGCTTTAACGAGTTTTTACTATCATAGAAGTTGGATTGTATTTTATTTGATTTTTCTAATAAATTTAACTATATCAAAATTCACAATTAAAAAATCGATTTTGACTTAAAAATTAAACATTGCTGGTGAAGGGTTAACTTATTCATCTTTTCTAATTCTCAGCAAGTTAATAAAAACTAAAAAGAAGTTAAACCGAAATTAAAGCTCATTCACATTCGTATGTACGTTATTGAATCAATAAACGAAAATCTCGACTGGACGATCTCTCGTGAGATAATTAATAACGCCTGGCGTCTAGAAATTTCAGCGTCAGGTAACATCATGGCGGACGTCTCGCCGCTTTTCTCATTCCCCCGGCGCTGTAACAGTCATGGCCGACGCTTTCCCGAACCTCTCATAACGCGACCTCGATCACTTTTCTATATTTAACTACCGTCGAAAGCGCCGCTGTAGATATGATGCACGTGAGACGGATAACAGGCATAATAACATGACAAACAAAACGAACTCGACCGGTTAATTGCACGAGTCGCACGAGAAGATAACAAGGACCTGAAATTACATAACAAAAAAACTGATAATTCCCCTCTCCTACCTTCTCCTTACCTAGTTATTCAATTAACGCGGACGAGGAAATAGGAATTTACAAACAATTCTCACTGGTGTTACGTATCTTACGTGTCATACAAAACAATACAATGTGTTCATGTAATTCGCCTCAATTTACCGATTGACGTTCATTGCATACCTTCTAATAAGAATTCTGACCATTAGAAAGCCATTTTTTGTCCGCTATGGTTTAACAATTCCTGAGAGGAGAAAGAGAGATACGAAAAAGATAGATGAGAATAAGATAGAAATAATAAATATATCCTCTTTCATAGATTTTTTGTTAAAAACTACGACTCCAGACTCATTGGAGGATGCTCATGAGTGTGAAGACGCGTGCGACGCTCGTTCGTGATTATCGATTATATAGGTCTGTTCGTGTTGTTTGAAACTCCCAAAAATTTGTGCACTTACGAGATAAACAAAAAGATCTGTTCGCATTGCTTGAAAGCCCCAACAATTTTTGCATTCGAAAGGTGCAGGATAAATAATATATATTTGATCGTTGAAGAAACAAAAAACCAAGACAGTAGATGCAAAAAGTACAAGCAACGCGAACATACCTATATATTCGAGTGTCGAAGAGAAAGAGAACGAGCGTACTATCTTTATTAGAAAATAATCTGTTTAAAGTATAATAATCTCGACCTCCCACGTGTGTCGGGCGTCGCCCCGAAACAGTGAAAGATCCTCGAAGATCCCGTTGTCGATCAACATCGTGGAACTCGCTAACGATCTCTCGTAATGGCCGACCTCGCTCGTTCACGGGTGAGACAAAATGGCGAAAAACTGTCGAAAAATCTCAGGGAAAATTCCTTCCAGCTTTTCTGAAGGCGGAATGTCGGTGAAATCGGGCGAATCCGCACGCGCGGAATGAGAAACGTGCGATTTTCCTCATCGAAGGACGCGAGCGTGAGAACGCGGCAACGCGACATGGCGGAACGCGACCTGATTTTCCACGAAACTTTCCACCGGGACGAGCGAAAGCATGCGAGGAGAGAAATAGAGAAACGCCAGATGGAGAAAAGAAGCAGATTATTTTCCTACTCACCTATTGGCACAGTCTAAATATCACAAGAGGACGAAACTTCGGGGGGGGAAAAACTACGCGTCCACTCCTCAGCGTGCACTACCCAAACGTCATG